TTTTTACACATATGTTTTTTATGAACTTACCATTCTGAGCATTATGGCATATGATAGATATGTTGCTGTTTGTCATCCTTTACATTATCACAGAAAGATGAACTCTAAAACTGTCTACACTTTGACATTTTTTGCTTGGGTCTGTCCTGTCTGTTACCTTACAATGAGCATTATTATGGTTGTCAGGCTTCCTCTGTGTGGTAACAATATACAGAAGGTATACTGTGCCAGCTGGAATATTGTAAAATTATCATGTGTTACCAATGCTGTTAACAATATTGTCGCTTTGTTGGGGGCCATATTTATAGCCTTCCTTCCCTTTAGTTGTATCTTGTACACTTATCTGAAAATTGTGATTGCTTGTTGGAAGTCATCAGAGGTCAGAGAAAAAGTATTACAGAGCTGTCTTCCACATGTTATTTCATTTGTTATATATTCCATCACATCATTTAGCGATACTGCCCTGAACCGACAAAATCTTGACGAGATAAATCCATTTTTGGCTGCAATTCTGTCAGTAGAATTTATTATCATTCCTCCAGTTGTAAATCCTCTTGTGTATGGCCTTAAATTACCAGAAATTAGAAAACACATCTTCAAGATATTTCTATATGCCTAAAACCCCAGTCTAAGAAAAACTGCTGTACATTATGAGTCTACACTGATCATGTGAATGTTGTGTGTTGGGAATAAATCGCATACAGAATTCATGAATTATGTCTAAGTAAAAAGAAAAAAAATATCTGGTGTCCTATTCAACTTTTTTACACTATTTCCAGGACTGGACAAATTGAAAATGTTTCCTTAATTTTTGACTGCAGTGTTGTGATACAGTATTAATACTTCATGACATTAAGTGAAATGTGTGGTGTGGTGCAACCGTATCTTATAACATAAATGGGGATTACAGCAGAGATGGAGGTGGGATTAGAATACAATTGTTTATCATCTATTGTAAATTAAATTGTGTGTCATAATCAAATATTATATCTCACTAATAAGACTCCATCTTGTAGATGTATTCCTTAATATTATTCCCCATAGCATCAGCAGAATCAGCTCATATCATGCTGCGTTTATATCCCCCACATTAACTATGTTTACTTACTATTTACTTGGTGATATTACATTCCATTACTTTTATCCAAAGCCATTCACAATATGTACATTTACTATGTGAACCCAACCCAATAATTGCAAGAAGTATCCAATATGGTGAACGTTTGTACCACAGCATGGGTTGTGGCATCCTCAGAGTTACTGCAGAGGGGCCACCAAATTATTGTTTTATTTTGTTTTTTTTCTTAAGTTTGTTATTTTCTTTTTTTAACAAAATAAAATAAAATAAAACTAGTCCATACCCATTGAGTGCACAGTTGCCCACGTACAGTTTGACATGGTGTGTCTTTGGGATACAGGTCATAGGAAATTGCAGATTAAATAGTCAACTGAACCCATTAATTAGAGCAATGTATTCAGTCATTGTTTTTGTGTATTTGATATTACTATTGCTTTATTGAAAGTACATTAGTACCATTGCCAATAGTGGGATAGTTAGTGGGCTAAAACTGTACATTAGTAGTTGAGGTAGCACGTTGAAAGGCAGATAGTTAAAGTGTTTACATGTTGTATTGACTTAAAAGTGGGGCGCACTGGTAGTTCACATGGGAAAGGTGCGGCTAGTCCTTGTTACAGCGGTGTGGGTTGGAATCCAGCCTTCGTTCTTTGCTGCATGTCTTCCTTGCTCTCTCTCTC